CTACCTGCTGGCCTCTTGGTTCAGCTAACCTCATTGTCAGACCTGGTCCAGACCAGCAGTTGGAATTTCTACCCTCTTCTCCTTTACAGGAAGATGGAAGAATAATTCAGCTTCCAAAACATTGTAGTTTTATTATTTTATAAATCAGATAATAGACAAAGTTCACCATCGCCAGTAACCTTCAGACTTTGATTAGATTTTATGTTTTGTATTCAAATCATTTAATAACCATATGAATTCACAAAAAAAAAAAGGTTCTTGTAGGGTTACATTAAGATAATACTAAATTTAATGCAGATGAAAAAAAATACTGTCCTGAATGAATGTTACATACTTCTGTCACTCAGCAGTTTAGCCACAGCCATTTGCCCTGTCTGGCATGTAACACGCCCAAAGCACACATCTGCTTCAACAGCTAACCCAAAACTGAATGCATAAGTCAGGGTAGACAAGATTACAACAACAGGGCCTGTGGCAAGCCATCCTGTGACATACAGACAACATATTAGCATTTCAGTACTTTCATTTTCCATTATATTTCAAAAGGATTTTTTAAAATATGTTTTGAGTCCTTAATCCTTTTAGTGATCTACATGTCTGTTTTATATCTGACTGAGAATTTCACAGCAATGAGAGATCAGACAGTGGTCTTCTGTACTACAACAATGTGCAGTCTCATAGGTTATTACCACCATTTCATAGGTACATACTGCCTCCATCTTCACATTCCTCAAAAACAATGACAAGACTGCATGGTGTCATAATCCAGAAGACTACAATATGTACATGTACAGATTGTAGTCTAACATTACCACATTTTCTCAAATACCTCATGCATTTCTTTCTAAGAAAGAGAAAATACAACCAAACTTTGGGTATATATTTTATTTGTATGAAATTTGGCAACAGTATTAATTAACAGTGCCATCTTAAACTTCCATATACCCACAAGCCAAGCCAAGCACAACTTCAGTGTACACAGGTACTTTTTGCATATGATGGAAGGAATCCTAGAAATCAGAAATATAAATCAAGTTGTCATCCCCAGGGCAATGACATGAATGCTGCATCTATACATAAGCTGTGTAAGATTTGACGTTTTCACAGCGGTGAGTACGAAGATTTCTGTCTTCTGGATTGTTGCGCTGTGTAGTCTTGTCAATGTTAACCAACGTTTCAGAGGTCATACTGCCTCCGTCATCAGGGCGCCCTGATGATGGAGGCAGTATGACCTCTGAAACGTTGGTTAACATCGACCAGACTACACAGCGCAACAACCCAGAAGACAGAAATCTTTATACAAAAGCCATTTGAAGCTGGAATGAAAGAAAACACAAGCAAGAGATGGTTGAAATTTTGAAAGCATTAAATCACACCAACAATGAAAATAAAGTGGCTCAACACTCAACAGTTTTGTATGATGATAAAAAGTGCACAGGCATGCATAATGTCCGTGTTAATGTGAAAAGGAGTTGATGGCACCGAGGATAACCACTCATGGGACAGCAATCCTGACATGTCATCTCCCTGGGGCCACCATAGAACAGTAAAACCTCTCTAACTTGGACACTTGCAGTTCCACGATAATGTGTCCAACTTACAGAGGTGTCCAGGATAGAGGGAAAATCATCCTTTCAAATTGTGGTGTAATGACAGTGTGGTAATTGTAGAGTATTATGGAGCCCTTCCGAAAAAGGAAATTATTGATAAGAAAAAGCAAAAGAGTAAATTACATTTTTACAAATTTTGTTTTCACTAAATTAAACTTGCATGGATAAGCTCAAAGGGAAGGGCACCAATACTTTAAGTTTACCGACAATGCAATCTATTTACTTACATAATCTAACTACTGTAGGCTTACTTGAATTAAGACTAATTTAATTATTAATTATAATAATATTTTGAAACCCACTCTCATGGTTGCACATTACACCCCAGCCTCAATGAAATTTTAAATATTCAGAATGTATTTTTTTAATTGTACTTAAGCTGTAGCTCAACATATGATGTCACTTATTTCTTGTAAAAAGGTCCGTCACAAAACACTGCTTTTTTGCTTTTATCTTGGAATTTGCCATCCTCTTTCTAATTTTTGCCGCAATCCAAATAAGGTTTCAACCATTCCTTGTTGGTTATGAGCGAAAGCATACCATTCTAATTTCTGTTAACACTGTTTAAATCAGTTGCAAGCACAGTACTGACAAAGTTGAAACTCCAGTGAGGGGTTTAACAAAAGAATAACTTTTCACTTTCACTGCATTCCAATGATGTGTTCAATGACTCACGCCCTCAGGTAGAAGGCATTCATCAGTCAGAAATTCAAAACAACAAAATATTAACTGTAAACGTTTCCCATAAAAGCATTGAAACTAAGTGCATGTGTGCACCTGTCCAACTTACAACAAAAGGGGTGACCAAGTTCCAGGACAAAGGGGTGTCCAAGATATAGGGTGTTGTGGACATGTAAAATTATAGGATATTCGCCGGTTCCAATTAAAAGTGTCCAATATAGAGGGGTGTCCAGGATATATGGGTCCAACTAGAGGGATTTTACTGTACTTCATAAATCAAAATGATGAATGAATTCTGTCCCATTCTGTACATTTATTCCAGTTAGGCACCTACGAATTTGAGGACTATTCATGAGGTGCATTTAAATTGAACTCATTATCCTCACAGGATAGTACAATGTATGCAATAAAAAAGGTTGACAAATCAAATACCAACTTTATAATTTTTTAGATGTACCTAAGGCCTTTCTATTTTTTATCTTTACATGTAAATAAAGATCTCATTGCTAAAATTACAGAAGCAATGCACCCAAGTAAATAACTATAACAGCACTAATTTATACATAAAACTGATAATGCTGCATTAACTAGGGGTGGCAGAATTTTATCCAGATTAATCCATCACCCCTAATGAAGCTTACTCTTTACATGCATGTCTGTCATTACACATATGCAACACAAACAGACGAATATGCATTCGCTCTCTCTCACAAATTATTTAACAGAGAACCCCCACCCCCAAAGGATGATCACAGATAATGAACTTAAAAAAAATCAATACACTATACAAACATCATGAATATAACAGGTGCTGAACACTTTGTGTACACTTTTCCAGAATCAGTGAAATGACAAACAATATACTGTGCCATGATTGCAGTGTGCCAACTGAATAATGCCAATACTGTATGTGACTTTAAATGGAGCAGCAGTTACAGAAATACAGTTCTCTTAATGCCAAAATGTGAGCACCAATCCTGCTTACCTGAATTATTACAAAATTTTACAGAATGAAAGTTACAATATAGCTGAAAATATTTTACAAAATAAATAAAGCATTTACTATGTTTAATAAGATCAAGAATATAATTCTGTGCAAAAAGATACAGAAAAACCCAAAAAGGGTAAATATTTCGCAGCTGTGATATGTCATGAACTTTCTTTTATATGTGATACTGCATTAGCTGCTGACAGCAACTCAAGTTAGCAGTGAAAAAACAGAAAGTGGTATTACATTCCTTTGCAATATTCATGTGTGACTCACTGCTGGATACAAATAGGCTTAAACAATTAGCACAAAGAATGACAGAGAAGTCATAAGAACAGTCCTTGGTGTTCAAGTTCCCCACAGAAACAGTTATTAATAAAGAGCTGACATTAGTACAACAAAATGTCAATATAAAGTTCTAACAGAAGAAAAGAATGCCAATATATGACCTTGGCATCAACATTCACCTTATAAAGCTCATATGGGTCTTGTGCAATAAAACAGATCTATCAAAAGAGACCATGAAAACTGCTACAAAATTACTGAAACTATGTAGGATTTGAGGTTTTCATGGCAGCAAGTCTGAAGATGGCTGTCTTCTGTGTTCTCGTGCAGTGTAGTCTGGAAGAAGTTTGCCAACATCTCAGAGGTCCTTGCTGCCTCCATCATCATCGCACTGATGACAGCAGACAGCCATCTTCATCACTGAAACCATCCGTACCTAATACAGAATGAAGTATTACACTGCACCATACATGAGTACTGCATGGGAGTAAGTATACATCACTTTCTCTACTGACTAAAATTAACTTGCGACAAGACACAGATATCACTTACAGTGGAAAGTTAATGCCATAGCAGTTACCAAATATCCATACAGTAGAAATACTTATGATTATAAAGCACCAAAAACCAAGTATTACAATACACCATTAAAAATTATTTCCCAAACATTGTTCCAAAAGAAGCATAATACTGGGAATTACATTCAAAATGCAGCCCCAGCTCCTGCACATGAATCCCTTTTAGACAAAAGATGATGAAACGAATGGTGATATTAAATTTTTGCAGCTGCATCTTGCTACAGCAGATGATGCACTACTTCAAATTGGAACGGCCATAATTCCAGGTGTTTTGTCACTCCATGAACACCTGTCACAGATAAACACTTTCTTTGTCCCAAAATTTTATTACTTCTCTGTGTATTGTTGTCTTATTTGACACTTCCTTGAGAGAATATGCATTGTTAAATACTTAATAAATAGCTGAAAATGATTTTGATACAAAGAAATGTTTGAGAATAAACACCTTCCACTCATCAATACACCTTGTTTGCAAATGAACAGCCCAACTGGTGTGAGCAACGGCCTGGTAACCAGAATGAACTTCACTGGACTGTCATGGGGAAGGTTGGGAGAGTGCATTACACTGGGTTGAACATGCTTCTGATTCCATTTTTGTACCATAGTACAAGATACTCAGTTGCATTTTCAATGGTATACAATTAATTACAATTTCTCAAAAACTACCTAAAGAGTATGAAGAACTAATTAATTTTCATAAAGCTCTTATTTCATCAAGAAAGAAACATGGCTACCTTCTTTTTCAGATAGGAAATGCTGATCAGACTCCAATATGGTGGGATAACAATACCTGCAAAATTCTAACTGCTATGATTTAACTCAAGATAAATTTTTAATCTGAGTTAATTTCGCAAGACAAATGAAGTGGTTAATTATGATAAATGGCATGTCTGAATAACATATATAATGGCAACTGAGTATATATGAAAAACCTGATCAAAAATAAATGGACTTAAGTGCAGTTTGCATGTAATATTGTAATGCCTGCCCATTATTTTAGTACATCTGGAATTTTCCTGTTTCACTATAACAGAATGCAGCACCGAATACCAAAACAGTGTCAAACTGAAAAAAAATCTGAATAGCTGACACTATACATAACATAAAACACAGAAATGAATCTTCACATAATGGCTGCATCCAGAAAAGGAAGTACATGAGCACCGGAAAATAATAATAAATGACTCACAAAGACACATTCCTGTTTGTGGAAATGACCAATTTTTTAAGACAGTGTGGATGCTGGCTTCGCCATTTACAGCCTGGTATCCAAACAGTTGCCACTGCTCAATGTGGCAAATGAAATCCCAAATAGATTTGAAAATGGTGGTGCTTTACAATGCCGGGATAAGACAATTCATCAACTGTAACCTGATCATACACTGGCAGTGAAAGATAATGATGTAAAAGCATACAAAACAAAATTACAAACAACAGAAAGAATTACAGAATGTACAAAAGGTTACAAATGTCTCAAGTGCTATTAAGAAGTATCCAATCCATATTTGGCGTGAAATTTCAGGATAACTACAAGTTACATTTCAAAGACAAGAATACTTTTAAACATTGAAAATTATATTATAAAGTGTATTATTTTAAAGTACAATTTTCAACATAATACACATTTTCACCAATTTTAATTTTACAATGTTTTTAAGATCTAACACCACCAATATGACTGCCAAAATGCAAAAATTTGGTTAATTTCCATCTGAAAGTCCTCCTGGTTCCACAGCAGGCATATTAAAAATATTCCACGATACAGTAATCGTGATAGCAATCAGATATTTATCAGCACCCTTTCCTAGTTTTTGCATCTGTAAAACAGATTCTTATTTCTTCTTTAAACATAAATACTCTACTACTTTCTTGTTTATATATATATAAAGATGCCAAATAGCTGGTTACCTATAAAAAGATTTATAAACCATGTACTTTTGTGTACATGGCATTAAAGAGTCAAAATGAATTTTTTATCTAACAATATAATTAAAAATAAACACTTGAGCAATACATCAACTAGCATCTTTAGATTCTTCAACGGATGCTGGTGAAAAGGTTCAAGACTGATTTGTTCTCCTAAAACAAAAGACAAAAATAACATCAATTTTTTTATAAGTGTCTACAAAAATAACTTTAAAAAATGTTAACATTACAAGATATATGCACCCCCCCCCCCATGAATGAGTTAAGCATCTTACCTTCTGTGATCGAGCTTTGCTAAACACATTCCAGAAGCGAAGAGTCTCATCCCCAGCCCCAGTTACAATTGCTTCTCCATCAGGAGACATGGCCAGATAGAGTACTCTATACGAATGGCCAGTAAGATTTGCAACCTGTGTCAGGCTAGGATATTTCCAGACGAGAATCTGGTTTTGAGAGTAGCCATGGGTGCTAACCTACAACAAACAATTAAATTTCCACAAGAAATGAAATTAAAAGTAACAGTCTGGAATAACCTTCAATGACATCACATTCATATGAAATTCCATGAAAATTTGTCAGCCATTCTCAATTAGCAGGTAATGATCCCCACAATGGTGCAGCCAATGACAGCATAACAGGTGATGACATAATCAGTTATTTCAATTTAATCTTATAGGTTACAAACACTGCACAATTTGTACCAAACATAAAATAGAACTTCTACTTCTATCAACATTATCATTCCAAGTACAAACTGCAGTGCACATCAAAATGCAAGGAACTTACCAGTTCAGAGGAATGTTTTGACCATGCAAGATTACAGACTTGAGATCCCGTGTCTACACACTGCATTGGTTGGCCTGTGAGTGTGTTCCAGAAACGAATACATCGATCAGCTGTACCTCCACCACTAGCCAAGAGTCCATGATGATGCGGGGACCATGCAATAGCTGTAAAATAAAATTTGAGTACATTAATAAATTGTGTCCAAATGATCAGTATGATGCATGTTGACACATAAAATATAACACAAAGAAAGGGAATGGTGGAGGCATAAAGGAGAAATGTAAAAAATTTAGTTTGGTAATTATAAATGCTGAATAGTTGGAAAATTAACGCAAGAAGAGGAGTTAAAAACAGAATGAAAGCGGTCTGCAAAGGCCTCTGCAATAGACTGTGGTTCAGTAATAAATCTCTCTCCACCTTTAATTTGTGTAATAGAATGATCATTCTTTTTAAATTTAGAAATATATTTCCAAAAGTGCTTTGGTTGGGTTCTCAAATTATCATCAATTGTTTTTAACCAAATCAATCGATCTGCCTTAATAGTCATTTTAACTAGTTTACAATAATACGAAAAAATGTCGTAATGATAATCATCTTAGGATTTTTTAATTTCTTAAGAGAAAAATAAGAGATTTGGAAAACCAGTGAGGATAGGTAGAATTTTTGGGATTTACAAAGGGAATAGCTAGGCTAATAGCCTTTGACACAGTAGCTGTGAGATTATTAATTGCAGCATCAACAAAATGATGGTATAAATAACTATAATTAATGGAAGGCAGGTTGCCCTAAGTGGAATAGTGGTTAGCGTGCTCACCACTAGGCCCAAGTTTCCACGAGTTCAAACCTGGCTGAGGTCGATGGATTTTTAAGGGTGATAAAAATCCATAGCACAACTTCCTTCAGAGGGGAAGTAAAACTGGTGGTCCCATGTCGCAGATTTACAGCATAAAAAAGAACCTTATGAGCATGAATGAGATGTTTTGTAAGCAAAATTCAGCAGCCATGTGTCACGCAAGGCTCTCCTGATTCTCTACTAGATGGCTCTAGCAGACAAATCAGGATTGGGTAGAAATTGTGCAGAGGCAGTGGGCCTGTCACTCTAGTTGGGTTGTTTTTGTGAGCAGACGTGTTTGGGAAAGAGCTGTGAATAATGGGTTGCTACCTGGAGGACTACTGAGCCCGCATGGGTACCTGGGCAGGGAGAACTTCATGGCGTACTATACGAGGAGGAGACAGATTTGGACATGGAAGCTACTTAGGGAACACGATTCTGTGTGCAGCGGCTTTAGCTGTACTCCTGATAATCAGTGGTGTGGAGCAGAATCCTGGACCTGGTTCTGAGAACATTTTGCAAGTCTTGTGTTGTGTCTGCGACAGAAACTTAAAATCTGGAACACAATGCGACACATGTGGACGGTGGTTTCACAACAGTTGTGGAAACGTAAAAGCTCATATGGTGGACAGCGGGAGGTGGTGCTGTGATAGGTGTAGATGGGACAGACTTCATCAAATAGAGGAAAAAACTGGAAAACGCTCTGCATCAAATTGAAGATCTAAAACGGCAGAACAAGAGACTGGAAGAGCAGTTGCGAGGGGCTGCAGCGGGATGTGAGGTTAGCAGGGATACGGCGCAGAAACTTCAGGGTGGTGCAGAGTGCCTAGTGTTGGGTGACTCTATAATACGAGACGTGGGTACTGATCATGGAAATATCAAGGTGGAGTGCTTTCCAGGTATCAGAACTGAACAGCTACAAAGAGTTATGGAGCACAGGGATCTTGGGAGCCCAGACATGGTCATAATTCATGTAGAATAATTCACGTAGGTACGAATGATTTAAGAAGAACAGCAAATCTAGACTATGTGATGGGCGATGTGTACGCTCTTGTGCAGAAGGCAAGAACTAAATTTCCCATATCAAAATTAGTCCTGAGTGGTGTGCTTAGGCGTAGAGACGTTTCATGGCGTCGTATCGGAGCATTAAACGACAGATACGACTGGGTAGCAAGGACCACTGGAGTTACTTTTGTAGACCCGAACAGTTGGATTGATGATTGGGACTTCGGCAGGGACGGATTACACATCAACCGAGGAGGAGCGAGAAGACTGGGCAAACTATATCATAGAGTTTGTGGATTCGACGGCAGAGGTCAGAAGTTGAATGAGTGAATGTTGCTGAATACTACCAGTGAGGGGGCATCTAACATAACGCGGAAGATCATCAAGGAAAATCCGACGCTGGTCTGGGAGAAGAAAGGGAGGAAGGAAGCGAGGACAATTCAGGCTAGGAATGAGACAGAAGGCAGGATAAGTGATGATGGGGTAGCCAAGAGCAGATGGAGGAAAATTCGCTGGTTTTGCTGCATGTAAATTGGAGGAGTATCCTCAATAAGTCTTTGGATTTTTGGAATTTAGTTGACACATACAATCCCGATGTTGTAATAGGCACAGAATCATGGCTTAGAGAGGAAATTAGTAATGCCGAAGTATTTAGGGACGATTACAAAACCTTTAGGAGAGATAGGAATGCACGAGGTGGCGGAGTGTTCATTTGTGTAAAAAATTACATACCTTGCGCGGAACTATGGGTGGACGAGGATTTTGAGATGTTAGCAGTTGAAGCGAAAGGCAGGGACCCTAAATTCACATGGGATATCATAGGCATCTACAGGGCTCCGAACGAGGACATTTGAGTTATAGAAAGATTGGCAGCCCAAACCAGTTATTTAGGAAATTCTACAAAGCGTAGCATCATTGGAGGTGATTTAAACTTGCCCTATGCAGATTGGAAGGGAAACATGGAATGTACTAGCAGAAATCAGGCACTTATGAATAGACTGGTATGGGAAAATGGGTACACACAGGTAGTAGAGAGGCCAACCCGAGGTGATGCACTGCTGGATGTTTACCTTGTCCAGCCTGAAAGTTCGTTCACCTCTTGCAGCATTGTACAGCGGATCAGTGACCACTGCAGGGTATTATTGGAAGTGGAATGGGAAGAAAATAGCTGTGAACCTCAGGTAGAAAGAAGTGTCCCCCTGTACCATAAAACAAATATTTTCGGATTACAAACCTTCCTCAGGGAAAAA